GGGTGTGAAGCGTGGGTTTGAAGTTGCAGCGAGGAGAAGGGGGAGGGAGTGGAGAGTCTGTCTGAGGGCAATGTGTGGTGTAATATAAGCAGAGAATTCGTATTTGGGAAATTTGAGGGGGGTGCGGTAAACCAAAAAAATGTTGTCCAGAGGGGAGGAAGGGGGGTTGAGGTGGTTTGGCCCTGTAGAGAGAATGGGGAAACAAATGACTTCAAGATGTATCATCTGTAGTGGAAGGAAAGGGGGGGTGGGGTCGGCTAGGGGAAAGGGGTTGGGGGGAGGGGGTAAAGGAGGTTTTGTGGCGGGGGCTTGGACTTCCGCAGCATGCGTGAGCGTGTTTGATAGGAGTGAATGGAGACAAATGGGTTTTAATTTGACGGCTGGGAGTGTGAGCAAAAACATTTATGAAGGGTTTTAGGGAAACCGGAGGCCGGGCTTGATCCGGGGATGGGAAGTACAGTGCCCGCCTTGAAAGGGGGGGTGTTAATGTTGCAGTTTAAAAACTGTAGTGTAAAGCCCCCTTCTGGCAAGACAGTGGGGAGTGAAAGATGGGAAAATTTTTCTTTTTTCGGGCCACCCGCCTTGGTGGGAAAACGGCGGGGTGAAATAATAAAAATAAAAAAAAATTCACCCCGACAGTGACAGATAAGGGGGGATAAACACTGAAAGTAAACAAGGGGGGGGGGGGGCAGCGATAAAAAAAGATTGATTCCATCCCCCCCTTTCTTTGTTTTGTGGTAACAAAAATTTTTTTTTGTCATTTGTCTGTCTGTCAAACTCCCCGTCTTTTTATCCACTAGCCCTGTCTCAGAACCACAAGATGCGCATCACCTTTTCTCACTCTTTAAACGAGTATACATTTTTTTTGGATTTTTTTTTGGGGTTTTCCCAGGGAAATTTATCTACTTACTGTACAGGGACCCCCCCCATTCCGTTGGCCTTACTAACGTTAAATCCGCATACCGCACATTTTATCGCTAAGATTTTTCCTCGCATACCCCTAAAAATCCACTCAAACCGTTCGTCCGAGACGCGTCTAAAGTGCGCCCTTAGCCGCCCCACGTTCCGCCGGTGGCATTGTTTACCAGCCCGCCCACGGTAAATCCAAGCAACAAACGGAACATTTTGTATTATTACGTTTTTGGTGATTTTTCTGCATAAAAAGTGACCTGGGCCCCCAAAAAAGCTTCTAGTGCAACCCTCAGCAATAAGGGTGAGAATTACTATAGAGATGAAGAAAAGGGGTCATTGATAAGTATGAAAATGGATGCGTGTCTCCGGTGGCCCGGTTGCATTAAAACCCATCAAACCCTCGCTATGTGGGCAAAAAAAAAGGTAATCAAAGGAAGTTTCTTTCCAAAGGTTTAAATGTGTTTTCGAACAGAGATCCAAGTGATGGAAGATATTGAAGATTTTATTGGTGTGGGTAAAAAAAAAAAAAAAAAGAGATAGCATTTCCAATGATCATAAATGAAAAGGCTAGGGAATTGCATGAGGTTTAATTAAAAAAATGCCTGCAAATAAAGATGTGAGTGAATTTAAGGCCAAAAAAAAAGGTTGGTTTTAGAGTTTAAAAGGGGGTAGGGCATACATAGTGTGATAAGGTGGTGAGGCTGCCAGTTCGGACCCAAAGCGCTGAAAAATATGTCAGGAAACAAGGATCATGAGGTGAAGGACTAAACCCGAAAAAAAGTGTTTAATTGTGATGAAAAAAAGGCCCTTTTTGGAAGAAAAAAGCAACAGGGGCGCATTTCCCCGGAGGAAAGGCACTCCCAGGACTTAAACCTATGAAAACAGGTTACTCTGTTGATGTGTTAAAAAGAATTGGGGATTGCAAAGTGAACCCTTTTTTTTGTATCATTGAAACTCCCAACCCTTTAGGGGAAAAAAATGTTTCAAGGTAATTTGTGTGTGCTGTGAAGGCAAAAAGTAAGGGGAGGGCACTAGGGACTTTTTTATGATGGTTTTACCCCTTTCTTTGCCCCCCAAATTTAAAGATTACCTAACTGAAAAGAAAAAGAACTTAAGTGCCTCCGGGTTAACATGCCCCCGGATCCCCAGACGTGCAGAGCGACTTTATGGGGCATGAAAATCATTAAGGTGAAGTTTTTGCCTCCTAAAACCACTCCTTCCTGCAGGCCCCGGACCGCGGTTATTGCAAACTTCAAAAAACTGTACACAAAAGCTCTGTTTTTAAAGGTGCTTTGTGTGACCTCAAACTCAAGACTCTAAGAGACTTTTTGGGGATCACTTTTAAAATCCTCAAATTTTGTAAACCTTTTAGGGAAGGGTTGGGAGGGGATGACTAAGAGGACCTTTTAACTCTGCTTGGAAGAAACTGTGGGAGAAAGTGTAACAAAAGGGGTTTTGAAGGGTTTGGGGCTAACCCTGAGAATCCAGCCGTTGGGAAACCATTATGGCATTTGGGGAAAGTCCCCGGGGGTTTGGGGGTTGTGGGGGGGTGGTGGGAAAAGTGGTGGAGGAGGCAATGAAGAACTAACCACTGATGGCTGATAGACAACTTTAACAGCAAGAGGGCCCGGCCGAGGAAAACTGGTTCGAAGGGGGGGGGAAGAGAAATAAGAAATTCCTATACAAAGATTAACCCCTTTTAGGGTTTTCGTCTATAGTAGTCTTACGCTGGGGGGTTTTTACGACTGACTCATAAATTCTAGCGACCCAAATCTAGTGGGAGAAAGTGGTAGGCCTTCATATGAAAGAATGGGGCTATTTTCAGGTGCCAGCTAAAAAAAAAACCTGCAGCACCGGGCATAAAGAGAAAAAAAAAATTTTTCCCATTTTTTTTTAATAAAACAGCACTTTGCAGTGTAAATTTTTGTATGGTATTTATTGTTTTTATTCTAGTTTTTTTTGGTCTTTTTATAGAAGGGAAAAAATTTTGAAATTTGGGGTGATTTTTACTGGTTTTCCCAAGAAAGGTGCCTTTAAATTGAGCCAAATAGCAGAAAAATTCGATTTTTACCAAAATTCAAAAGTAAAAAAATCGTGCCAAGCGTGCAATACACGTCAAATGGTGAGTCTAATTTTCTTTCAAATGCACCCAAAAATTTTTACCTTTTTTCACTAATGCAGTAGTCTGCATAACAGTAACTTATTTTTTGTGAGAAAAAAATTCAAAGTGGAAAACAAAAGAAAATAAGAGGGCCTTGAACGTGACTAAGACTAGAGGAAAGCATTTTATGCCAGGAATGTCTTTCTTGTTTATTGGACCCTATTCCGAATTGGCTTTTTGAAATTTTTGTGAAATTGGAAAATTGCTAAATTCGACCCCTGAATGGATAGTTGAATTTTTAAATGGGTGGTTTCTTGCACCCCTTCGAAGAAAAAATGAGTTTAGCGAAAAAAATTTAGTTTTTTGTGACAGTACAGAGAAATTGGCCGAAAATGGGGCCAAAGTGGGCAAAAACGCCGTCCGTAAACATCGCCCAGACCCTAAATTGCAGAGCAAATTCCGTAAATTTTTTATAAATTTCAAACTTTTGGTGTCGTTTTTTTTCGGGGAAAAATTTTCTATCTTTTCAAAAAAGAAAAAATTTTTTTTTTTTTTTAAATTTGGCCGACCCGAGAACGAGTTTGGAGGGGCCCGCGCCCTCAAGGGTTAAAAGGGAAAACTGTGCAAAGTGCAAATTTTGGATGAAAATCACCCTCAACAGCTATTTCAAACCCTGTGGTGACTATTACAGATAGTTGTGAAACATTTAGGGGGTCTAAAGGAACGAGAGTCAGGCCACTTGGAAGAATGTTTGCGACAGAACTCCAGTGATTTGAAACTGTCCTAGGGGATTAAAAGAAAAGGGAAGTAAACCCCAAAAAAAAAAGGGCTTGACACCCCAAGCTTAATGGAAGGGGGTTCCCCTTTAAAAACTAACACCTCTCCTTCCCATCCCCTCAATCATCACCAATCTTCAATAAAGTAAGTGGGATGTAAATTTTGATGCCTTTTTCGTTTGTGTGTATTAAAATTAATATTTCAGTGGTTTAAAAAATGTTTTTTTTTTCTACTTTGGGGTGTCTTGCCGGGTTTAATTTGATTTCCATTATTTTTTATGGGGGAAAATTCATTTGCATACGAAATTTTGCAAAACAATGAGCTCTCTTGCCGGTTAATATCGTATGCGGGGGCCACTGTATTTTGTGTACCTGTGAGACAGAGATAGACGATTTAAAGGACAGAGACAGGGGCAGGAGAGAGAGCGACAGGAGAAGAGAAGACAGGAACAGAGCAGTGACGACAGATCGACGACCTAAAAATTGGGGTTAACATCACTTTCCTGTTAAAAGAGGAGTGTTAATATGACATTGCATCAGTGAATCCTTGGTGTTTGCCGCGCTGTTTGCTCTAGCTGGTGCTCAATTTAACTGGCATAACTGGCACTCCCACAAGGTACTAAGTGGTCCCAGATGTTTTTAATACTGCGCACACCTAGTGTTAAGACCAATTCTATGCTGACCAGGCATCTCAGGCCAATCGTGCCAAATTTGGAGGCAGGAAAAATAAAACGTACATATAAGTTTGGGGCGCTACATGAGTGAACATATATATACCTTTGGACCGTTTAAGGGTTAATCATTTCCAAATTAGATGAAATGTAAGGAAGTGTCCTGAAACCAAGGCTATATTTCCTACACCATTTTTTTTTTTAGACTTCACAATGCAAGAACCAACTTCAAATACAGACATGCCACCCTAAAATCAAATTCAATATTGAGAGCACTGTTGGATGTAACCCTATAATAGCACAAATAATTATGAAATCATTGACTGGGTTCCCACAAACCATAATAAAACTGGGTAATACAAGCTCAAATAAAATAGTCCACACAAAAATGTCAAAAAAAATTTTGCCACAAACTTGAGAAATAGTCAAATGTACATTGACAATAATCATCACTGAACCATTTAGCAATGGACTGTAAATATATCTAACGAGTAACTGAATAATGGCCAAGTAATTACTATATGGATTACTATGGTCTACCTGGTATTTTGCAGTCTTGAAGGAAAGAACAATTCCCTTGCCACCTGGGGCAGGTTCAATGCCAATAACCTTCTTCTTGCAGAGGCCATTATAACGGGCACTGTTTACATTCTTCAAGTTGTTAGGTTCCTGTATGGGATAAAAGATAAAATTTGTTAGACATGACTTAAAAACAATGTCTAAAAATAGGTGTTGTGTGTTCATGCATGCATGCACACATCTGACATGTACATCAACCAAATAACTGATGCAGCAAAGGCACATATGGCAAATCTAGGAAGCCTTTCCCCCTCAGGGAAGATTCCTTGATGTTGGTGAGGGGCTCTTGATTTAGGGAATTGGATCTGTGCTCTAGTTCCCTGAATTAAGCCTGAATGCCTTCCACATCCCCCCCCCCAGGCGCTGTATAATCCTACAGGTTTAGCGCTTCCCCCTTGATTATAATAATAATAATAGGAAGCTTTTCACCATGGCCCGATGGCTAAAGCTCTTACTTTACATGGCAAGGGTTTGAGTTCGATTCCCAATGAGGGCAGAAACATCAGGAGTTTCTTTACACCATTTGTCTATGTTCACCCATCAGTAAAATGGGTACCTGGGAGTTATTCAACTGGTGTGGGTCGCATCCTGGGACAAAACTTACCTAATTTGCCCAAAATGCTCTGCATAACAAGCGGCTTTCTATATACAGGTCCGTATCCCTTTACCCGAAACCCTTGAGACCAGCAGCGTTTCAAATTTCAGAATTTTTCAAATTTCAGAATGAAGGAGGGGTCTAGGGCAGCATCCCATAATCAAACATTAACACTGCAGCAAAACTTGTGTGAATACTCACACTAAGTGGGATAAATAAAGACTACAAATACTACTACTGTTTATTTAGAGAAATATACTGATAAATGAAATAATGGGAAAATTATAGACCAGGAGCACGAATCTCAAAGTGCTCCACACATAAAAACATAAGAACACTGCAGCAGGCCTACTGGCCCATGAGAGGCAGGTCCAATTCTCCCACCGGCTTAAGCCAATGCCTTAACCTAGTCAGGTCGCATTCAATTAAGAACGGAAGAAAGGAGGAACACTGCAGCAGGCCTGTTGGCCCATACTAGGCAGGTCCTTCACAATCTCACTAAGAATATTTGCCCAACCCAATTTCAATGCTACCCAAGCAATAAGCTTTGATAATTCTAATTATTCTAATTACTCAAAGTAGCAGAAATGTTAAATTTTTGCCGATGCTCAAGAGCAAACAAATGACCTCATAAGTCTAACACATGACAGCTGGTGGGTCTAATATACATTCACAAATTTAGTGATATTATTTATACAATTATTACAGTATTGCATAACAGTAATCTTCTATTTTTTTGGTTTGAATAAAAATTCATTATGTGAATAAAAATTCAAAATGGAATTCGTTTGTAAAGCCTGAAAATGAAACTAATGAACAGAGGAAATGTTAGTTTAGTGCCAGGAAGACCTACATTGTTTATTCTGGACCCTATTTTGAAATTGGAATATTTTGAACTCTGCATAAAATTGGCCAAATTACCAATTTCCAGTCACTTTATTTTGTTGTTGAAACAGTTGACTTGGCGATTTATTGTGCTCAATCGATAGAAAAGAAGTAATACTAGTGAAATAGGTAAGAATTTGGTTGACTGGAATACTGTAATTGGCCTAAAATGGGAGTCAAAGTCGGCAAAATCGCTGATGCATAAATATCGCCAACACATCAAAATTCGCAAGAGCACAATTTCGTCAATTTTCCATTAAATTTCGTACTTTTTGTATTACCTTCAGAAAGAGATTCTCTACCAATTCATAAGAAAAAATAACAAAATTATTTTTTGAAAATTCTTGGACCCTGGTGTGCACTCTGAAATTTGGCCTCTTTACCCTGAAAGGATTAAACCATAACATGTATGTATTTAGTACAATATTTTACGGCATTTTCATGTATTTTATGATTGTTCATGGTTCAACAAGTTAAGGAAGCAGTATTATATTATATTTCCCTACAATATATTGCGGCACCAAACATCCGCGAGGCTCTTGATTCCCTAACTCCCGAGAATGTTGAGGGAGACCTGTATGCACATCGGCGATTACGCGTAAATTGAGCACTATTTACAGCCAATTCCATTGTTCCAATCAATCGAACTCAGCTATTTCTCTAGAACTCCATTTTTTCTATCAACTGAGTACAAGAAACCTCCCATTTACCGATTTCAACTACCCAATAAAGCGGTCGAAAATTGGCAATTTGGCCAATTTCACGCAAATTAAAAAAGATGCCAATTTCAAAATAGGGTCCAGAATAAACAGTGCAGACATTCTTGACACTAAAATAACATATCCTCTGTTCATTAGTCACATCTCTAGGCCCCTCTTATATTACTCTTGCTGTCTCTTTTGATTTTTTTATTCACAAAAAATAGAAGATTTACTGTTATGTAGACTACTGCATAACTGTAAAAATGGTATAAATAATATCAGTGAACTATTTTTTATATTTTTATTAACACACTGGCCGATTCCCACCAAGGCAGGGTGGCCCGAAAAAAAAAAAAACTTTCACCATCATTCATTCCATCACTGTCTTGCCAGAAGGGTGCTTTACACTACAGTTTTTAAGCTGCAACATTAACACCCCTCCTTCAGAGTGCAGGCACTGTACTTCCATCTCCAGGACTCAAGTCAGGCCTGCTGGTTTCCCTGAATCCCTTCATAAATGTCACTTTGCTTGCACTCCAACAGCACGTCAAGTATTAAAAACCATTTGTCTCCATTCACTCCTATCAAACACGCTCATGTATGCCTGCAGGAAGTCCAAGCCCCTCGCACAGAAAACCTACTTTAACCCCTCCCTCCAACCTTTCCTAGGCCGACCCCTACCCCGCCTTCCTTCCACTACAGACTGATACACTCTTGAAGTCATTCTGTTTCGCTCCATTCTCTCTACATGTCCGAACCACCTCAACAACCCTTCCTCAGCCCTCTGGACAACAGTTTTGGTAATCCCGCACCTCCTCCTAACTTCCAAACTACGAATTCTCTGCATTATATTCACACCACACATTGCCCTCAGACATCCGCTGACATGTCCACTCCCAAATATCTAAATACATTCACCTCCTCCATACTCTCTCCCTCCAATCTGATATCCAATCTTTCATCACCTAATCTTTTTGTTATCCTCATAACCTTACTCTTTCCTGTATTCACTTTCAATTTTCTTCTTTTGCATACCCTACCAAATTCATCCACCAACCTCTGCAACTTCTCTTCAGAATCTCCCAAGAGCACAGTGTCATCAGCAAAGAGCAACTGTGACAACTCCCACTTTATGTGTCATTCTTTATCTTTTAACTCCACGCCTCTTGCCAAGACCCTCGCATTTACTTCTCTTACAACCCCATCTATAAATATATTAACCCTTTCAGGGTCCGTCCTGTAGATCTACGGCTTTACGTTCAGGGTCCAAACCGTAGATCTACGTCATGAGCTCAGCTCACTCTGATAAACTGTGAGTGGTAAATTTGGGCCTAGATATGAGAGAATACATCTATGTGGTATGTGTGCACCACATAAAACAAATCCTGCAGCACACTGTGTATAATGAGAGAAAAAAAAACTGAGACCATGATTTTCGATTAAAACAGCGACTTTGCAGTGTTTTTTCGTATGTTTTTTATAGTTGTATTTGTGATTTCTTGGTCTCATTTGATAGAATGGAAAACATATTACAGAAATAGAGATAATTTTGATTGGTGTTAGCACTGGAAATGGCTTGAAATTGAGCTCAAAGTGGCGGAAATGTTAAATTTTTGCCGATATTCAAGAGTAAACAAACGACCTCACACGTCTAATACACGCCAGCTGGTGGGTCTAATATACATTCACAAATATGGTGATGATATTTATACAATTATTACAGTATTGCATAACAGTAAATATTCTATTTTTTGGTGTGAATAAAAATTCATTATGTGAATAAAAAATCAAAATGGAATTTATTTGTAAAGCTTCAAAACATAACTAATGAACAGAGGAAATGTTAGTTTAGTTCCAGGAATACCTACATTGTTTATTCTGGACCCTATTTTGAAATTGAATATTTTGAAATTTGTGTTAAATTGGCCAAATTAACAATTTCCGATCACTTTAATTTGTAGTTGAAACAGTTGACTTGGCGATTTCTTGTGCTCAATCGATCGAATAGAAGTAATACTAGTGAAATAGTTAAGAATTTGGTCGACTGGAATAACGTAATTGGCCTAAAATGGGAGTCAAAGTCGGCAAAATCGCCGATTCGTAAATATCGCTGACACATCAAAATTCGCGAGAGCATAATTTCGTCAATTTTCCATCAAATTTTGTACTTTTTGTTCTGTTACCTTCACAAAAAGATTCTCTACCATTTCATAAGAAAAAATAAAAAAAAATTTTTTTGAAAATTCTTGGACACTGGGGCACCACTTCAGATTTTGGCCTTGGACCCTGAAAGGGTTAAGATGTGTGATGCGACACGTTTCATAAATTACCACACCCTCAAACATATGCTTGAAAACTTTGTAAATGCTGCAGAGTACGTACATTCCTAATTTAAAAATATTGTATTACCAGATTTGATGAAATAAAATTGTATAAACTAGTGCAAGGCATGATTTCACCACTAACAAAGATTAGACTTTGATTTATCAAGCTTCAACAAAGGCAAAAATTATATTTCCCAAATTTCTTTTTTGTAGTTGCTGTGTGTAGTGGAACTCCGATTTTCGTACTTAATCCATTCCAAAAGGTCGTTCTAAATCCGAAATGTACAAAAACCGAATTAATATTTCCCATGAGAAATACTGTAAATACAATTAATCCATTCCAGACATCCAAATATATTAACAAATAGTTTTACATACAGAAAACAATGAGAAATAAATATAAACGATTAATTTTAAGGGAGGGGCGAGTGAAATAATTTTTTTTTTGAGGTCCAATTTCAGTGAGATTTTGACAGTGGATTAAGCAGCATAAAAAAACATAGATTGTGTTTGTTTTGACTATTAGCCTTGAAGTAGAAAAAATAAATTATACACAATTTCAAGAGTCCTAAAACTTTCCTTGTTCTACTAAATTCTGAAGATGTACAATGCTCTAGTTAACATCAGATGAAAGATAAAGGCTAGATTATTGTTGACCCAGGGTGTTTCAGCAATAATGTCAGTAGATTCCATAAAAAAATGTTGTAGTTTTTCTTTTTTTTTTTGTGGAGAAAAAATCATTAACAAAAAGCTGTAAAGAACATTGTAAATCCTCCCTTGGTGTCTGTAGAACCATCATTCCTCAATGTGTGCAAAAATCATGACAATCCAATGAATACTTATCGCAGAATATGGATCACAATGTCAATAATTTATTACCAAGTTTTTTTTTTTTTATTTTTGTTTGGTGTGAAACTCTACAGAAGTGGCGTGCCAAATCTCAGCGTGCTACATCCCTCCGACCTTCTTTACAGCCTCCAGGCTACTAAGGGACTCACTCACTGCACTCCACATTCTAGCCAGAACAGAAATTGCCATGTAGAGTATTTAGAATGAAATAATCATAAAAATTTTAATTTTTGGAGAAAAAAAAAAAAACGCTAATTGCCAACATGTATTTTTGCTGACAGCAAGAACAAAAAAAATTACACTTAATGAAAAAAATACTTAGAAATATGATAGAAACAGGCTGATTATATCGAAATGTTGCCAGAATTTTGCACTATTTTTCAGTACGAAAACATTTTTTCCATAATTTTTCAATCTTAATTTCCAGATCACTGAAAAAAGCTTCGCCCCTCCCTTAATGATAAATGAACATTACATAGCTTTATTGAAGACTAGTTGGCGTATTGAAGAGGGCAAGGTTGTGAGGGGGAATTGAGGTTATTGTTTGGAAATGGAATCCCCCTCCATAAGGACTTCAGTTATCAAAGCCCTCTCTGGGGTTACTTCCCTTCTTTGTCTTTTACTGCCTTGCCTTTTCACAAATGATCGACTCCACAACACTATCTCCCGCTGTTTCTCATTGATCCACACCAATAACTCCTACACATTTTCGATTGTTTGTGATCTCTGTTTCATTAGCACATTTACCTCTTTCGCAACTTCAGCTTCCTTGATTTCTACTTTCTTTGCCAGGATGGAACAGATTGCTGACTTCGACTTCCCATACATCCTGGCAAGCTCGGCTAAACGTATGCCACACCATAATCGTATTTTTCTACAATCTCTTTCCTGAATTCTATCATGTTTCTCACCTTTACCAGAGGGCTGGCACAAGGAACTTTCTTTGGGCCCATGCTGTCTTATATAGCAGTTGCAATCAATAAACAAGCACAAAAATTGCAAAATGTTTCAGATGAATGATCACTCAACCAGTAATGGAGCCAGACAGACACGTGTGGTGGCATCCCGGGTGGGTGGATGTGTCTGATATGTATGATTTCCGGATGAGGGTATGAAATCCAGACCAAAATTTCGCTCAAAAGAGTTTTCTAAATCCGAATTGCATGATATGCAGACCATACGAAAACCGGTGTTTGTTTAACCCTTTCAGGGTTCACAGGCCCTCTCAGAGACTTGTTCTCAGGGTCCCCCAAATTTCAAAAAAAAAAAAAAAAAAATTATTTTTTTCTTAAGAAAAGATAAGAGAATCTTTTCCCGATCATAATGACACCAAAAGTATGAAATTTGATGGAAAACTTAAGGAATTATGCTCTCGTGAAGTTAGCGGTCTCAACGACGTTTACGCATCGGCGATTTTGCCCACTTTGAGCCCTATTTTTGGCCAATTCCAATGTACTAGTCGACAAAAATCATAACTATTTCGCTCAAACTCCATTTTTTCTATCGAATGAGTACGAGAAACCACCAATTTACCGATTTCAACTATCCAATCCAGTGGTCAGAATTTAGCAATTTTGCCAATTTCACACAAATTTCAAGATGCCAATTTCCAAATAGGGTCCAGAATAAACAAGACATTCCAAGCACTAAAATAACATTTCCTCTGTTCATTAGTCACGTCCCCAGGCCCCTCTTACATTTCTTTTGCTTTCCACTTCAAATTTTTATTCTCACAAAAAACAGAAGATTTAATGTTATGCAGACTACTGCATTAGTGTAGAAATGGTATAAATAATATCGGCGCACTTGTGAAAGAATATTGGACTCACCAGTTGACGTGTATTGGACGCTTAGCATGATTTGTTTACTTTTGAACTTTGGTAAAAAATCAAACATTTCTGCTACTTTGAGCTCAATTTCAAGGTACTTTTCATTGTAAAACCAGTCAAAATCATCTCAATTTCTGTAATATGTCTTCCATTCTATACAATGAGACCAGGAAAACTAGAATAAAATAAATACCATCCGAAAATATAGAGCAAAGTCGCTGTTTTAATCCAAAAACACGGTCAAAGTTTTTTTTTCTCATTACGCACTGTGTGCTGCAGGATTTTTTTTATACCGCGTGCACTGACCACATAGACCCATTCTTTCATATGTAGGCCTACCAGCTTTCTCTCACCAGGTTTGAAGGCGCTAGAATTTATGAGTACGTACTAGTACGTCATGGACCCTGGTGCATAAGCCGTCCTAGTATGGCCAAAACCCTGAAAGGGTTAATTTTGATAGGCTACATTTATTTTTTAAATTGCCTACTGGTTAAAAGTTTATTCTAAGTTTTTTTTAACGGATCTTAGGTTAAAAGTTAAATGTCCGATAAAAAAAAGTTGGAGCATAAACTCTTAAGAGGAAGAGGTGAAAGAGATGGTACAGGAGCACGAAATAAAAAAATATCAGTTTTATGCAAGAAATAATTGTGTAAGAGGAGCACTGCAGTAGGCTCACAGGCCAATGAAAGGTCATTCACACTCGGAGTACTAGCATCTAATTGAGGAGACAATTCACAGGTGCTTTTATCCATACACAAGACTCGACACCTAGAAGGAAAATGCCTCAATAAATATCCTAGTACAGTGGTGCCTCAAGTTTCGGCCATAATTCGTACCAGAAGGCTGCTCGAGTGCCATTACCGAAGGAATTTGTTCCCATAAGGAAAAATGTAAATTAGATTAGTCCCTTTCAGATCCCCAAAAATACACTCACAAAAGCACTTACATAATTGTTCGAGTTGGGGGATGTTCAAAACTTGGGGTACCACTGTACCACTCTTGTCTCACAGTACACACCTGTACATGTCAGTATGTATTTAATACCATCACTTACCTAGTCCCTCGTGTATAACATAAAACTGTTTCAAAAGCAACTCAGTACATTGGCTTTCACTATGCTACCTGGCAGTTAATTACTGTGAACCTAGTGCTTGCCTTTATTCTTTATAATTGAGAGAGTTTGCCTAACCTAAATCAAGTTTAAGTTCTTCTGTCTAAACTCTTCTTTTTACTACTGGTAACTTTACTATTAAACAAACTAGATGCCTGCATGACTACAAAAGCAATCAACTATGAAGCTGCATGACAATTTCCAAGTACAGTACAGTACTGAAATTCAGCTTGTGCAAGTCTTAATTAAATAAAATGCAAGCTGGATACAGTACACTTACAGTGGAAAATGGTTTCTTGACATTCCTCTTCTTAAGGAGATGAGAATGATTACCTCTTATGATCTGCCAGCACAAATCTGCAGACATCTTGGCTTCTCTCCTGTAAATGTTGAATAAATATTAACCCAAATGTCTGTTCCAGTATATGTCCTCTATATCTACACATTGAACATAAGAATATAAGAACACAAGAAAGAAGGAACACTGCAGCAGGCCTACTGGCCCATGCGAGGCAGGTCCAAGTCTCCTAAAGGCTTAAGCCAATGCCCCAACCTAGTCAGGGCAGGTCACATTCACTTAAGGAAGGAACACGACAACTGACCTAGTAGCACAAGCTAATCAGGTCCAACTCTCACCCACCCACACCCACTCATGTATTTATCTAACCTATTTTTAAAACTACACAATGTTTTAGCCTCAATAACTGTACTTGGGAGTTTGTTCCACTCATCCACAACTCTATTACCAAACCAGTGCTTTCCTATATCCTTCCTGAATCTGAATTTTTCCAACTTAAAACCATTGCTACGAGTCCTGTCTAGGCTAGATATTTTCAGCACGTTATTTACATCCCCTTTATTTATTCCTGTCTTCCATTTATACACCTCAATCATATCCCCCCTAATTCTACGCCTTTCTAGAGAGTGCAGATTCAGGGACCTCAGTCTATCCTCATAGGGAAGATTTCTGATACATGGGATCAACTTCGTCATCCTCCTTTGTATGTTTTCCAGAGCATTTATATCCATTCTATAATACAGTGACCAAAACTGTGCAGCATAATCTAAATGAGGTCTAACCAAGGATATATAGAGTTGAAGAACAACCTGAGGACTCCTATTATTTATGCTTCTTGATATGAAGCCAAGGCTTCTGTTAGCTTTATTGCGAACACTTATGCACTGTTGTCTTGGTTTCAGATTACTGCTAACCAGAACTCCTAAATCTTTTTCGCAATCCGTAATATTAAGATCTACATTATTTAGTTTATATGTGGCATGGTTGTTTTCCTGTCCAACATTTAGAACTTTGCATTTGTCTATATTAAACTGCATCTGCTACTTCTCCGACCACTGCATCAGTCTATTCAAATCTTCCTGGAGTGCTCTAATGTCCTCGTCAGAATGAATTCGACGGCCTATTTTGCTGTCATCAGCACTTGCTTATGTCGCTCTTTATGCCCTCATCAATGTCGTTTATGTAGATTGTGAACAACAGGGAGCCCAACACTGACCCCTGTGGAACACCGCTCGTGATGCTTCCCCACTCTGATTTCTCCCCACTTATGCAAACTCTCTGCTGCGTATTTGTCAACCATGCCTCTATCCAGGAAAAAATTTGTCCTCCTATGTGCCTTAATTTTCCTCAATAGTCTCTGATGTGGGACCCTGTCAAAAGCCTTACTGAAGTCCATATACACAATATCATATTCATTACCATGATCTACCTCCTCAAATACCTTAGTTTAAAAAGTTAATAAATTCCTAAGGCAGGAACGCCCCTTTGTAAAACCATGCTGAGATTCGTTGATTAATTTGTGCTTTTCAAGGTGGCTACGAACTGCCTCGGCAATTATCGATTCCATAAATTTTCCCACTATGGAGGTTAGGCTTATCGGTCTACAGTTCGAAGCTAAAGACCTGTCACCTGCTTTGAAAATAGGTATCAAATTTGCCATTTTCCACTTATCTGGCACCATGCCAGTCTGTAGTGATATATTGAAAAGATTAGCCAGAGGTTTGCTAAGCTCCTCTTTACATTCCTTTAGAACCCTTGCATACAGTTCATCAGGGCCTGGGGATTTAAGTTTTAATTTATCAATTTGCCTAAGAACCATGTCACTTGTGACCCTAATCGTGCATAGTTTATCATCATCCTGTTCTACATAATTTATTATTTCTGGAATATCGCTAGTATCTTCCTGAGTAAAAACTGAGAGGAAGTATGTGTTAAAAATTCTACACATTTCCTTATCACTGTCTGTGAGCTGACCTGAATAACTTTTGAGTGGGCCTAATCTCATGTGGAACATACAAGAGCATAAGAACAAAGGAGCACAATAACAGGCATATTGGCACATGCTTAGCAGGACTTATTCTCACCCATCTACTCTACTAAGAACTGCATGAACCAACGACCACCACCTACCCTTTGCTGTCAGTCTACCCTACTGTAAGTTCATAATTATTGATTGATAAGTATGCTTGTACTAAGAGAAAAATGAGACCATATGAAGGGCATCCAAGACCTTCAATATTAACTGTTTATCATATACAGAGGACCCCCGCATACCGGACGCCTTGCATAACGGACAATCCGCATACCGGACGCCTTGCATAACGGACAATCCGCATACCGGACGCTTTGATCGCTAAAATTTTGCCTCGCATACCGCCCAAAAACCCGCTCAGCGCCCTTCGTCCAAGACGCGTCCAATGTGCGGCCTGAGCCACGCTCACATGTTCCGCCGGTGGCATTGTTTACCAGCCAGCCTCCGCGGTAACATCCAAGCATACAATCGGAACATTTCGTATTATTACAGTGTTTTTGGTGTTTTTCTTCTGGAAAATAAGTGACCATGGGCCCCAAGAAAGCTTCTAGTGCCAACCCTACAGCAATAAGGGTGAAAATTACTATGGAGATGAAGAAAAAGATCATTGATAAGTATGAAAGGGGAAAGTGCGTGTCCCCAAGCTGGCCAGGTTGTATAATAAACCCAATCAACCATCGTACTATTGGTGGTACACTGCTGCTGCTGCTGTACCACCGTCAGCTGCTGCTGCTGTACCACCGTCAGCTGCTGCTGCTGTACCACCGTCAGCTGCTGCTGCTGTACCACCGTCAGCTGCTCCTGCTGCTGTAGTACCGTCTGCTGCTGCTGTAGCATCGTCTGCTGCTGCTGTGCATCGTCTGCTGCTGCTGTAGCATCGTCTGCTGCTGCTGTAGCATCGTCTGCTGCTGTGTAGCATCGTCTGCTGCTGCTTTGTAGCGTCGTCTGCTGCTGCGTAGCGTCGTTGCTGCTGCTGTAGCATCGTCTGCTGCTGCTGTAGCATCGTCTGCTGCTGCTGCAGCATCGTCTGTTGCTGCTGTACCCCGTCAGCTGCTGTGCTGCTGTAGCATCGTCTGCTGCTGCTGCTGCTGCGCATCGTCTGCTGCTGCTGTAGCATCGTCTGCTGCTGCTGTAGCATCGTCTGTTGCTGCGTAGCATCGTTTGTTGTGCTGTACCCCCCGTCAGTGCTGCTGCTGCTGTAGCATCGTCTGTGCTGCTGTGCTGCTGTAGCATCGTTGCTGCTGCGTAACATCGTCAGTTGCTGCTGTGTCATGTCTGCTGCTGCTGTAGCTTTGTCTGTTGCTGCTGTAGCATCTTCTGTTGCTGCTGTACCACGTCAGCTGCTGCTGCTGCTGTAGACCGTTGTTGGTTGTGGCTTATTGAAATACAAGAAAAAATTTAAACCCCCAGAGGATTTTCCCACCCAGGATAGCCCAAAAAAGTCAGTGTCATCGAGACTGTCTAACTTATTTCCATTGGGGTCCTTAACTTTGTCTCCAGGATGCAACCCACACCAGTCGACTAACACCCAGGTGAACAGGGAAAATGCCTGGAACTAGTGTTTCATATTGGTAAATTTTTAGAGCCAGAAAAAGGTTGGTTTGAGAGATTTAAGAATCGTAGTGAATACACAGTGTGATAAGGCCTGTTCTGGAAGAAAATGCCAAACAGGACCTACAGTACTCAGGAGGAAAGGCACTCCCAGGACACTTTTGTTCATCAGTCATTGCTGCATCTTCAATAAAGGTAAGTGTCATTTATTCTTCATTTAGTAGAGTAGTACATGCACAAAAATATATTGTGCATGTACTACTCTACTATTGTGCATGTATCCTTCTCTTTGTGTGTAGGAAAATGTATATTTCATGTGGTAAAAATTTTTTTTTCATACTTATGGGTGTCTTGCACGGATTAATTTGATTTCCATTATTTCTTATGGGGAAAATTCATTCGCATACCGAACATTTCGTATAACAGCCAGCCCTCTTGCACGGATTAAGGTCGCTATGCGGGGGTCCACTGTAGTACTTTATACAGGAAGAAAAAAAAACTGGCAGGAAATGGCAGAAATCGAACACCAAATCCAGTCATTCCTGGAGTGGAATCACAGTCGATGGCCTCCACTCCAAACCAACTGATACAGATACTAATGCCGGAAAAAAAAGTCCCCCCCCCCCCCAAGTACCACCAATACCACCAGTCCGATGACATTCTTTTTTGGAAATATACAGGGTCTAAAACCAGCAACGAACAACAAAATACCTTTCATCCATGGTCTGCTTGCAGAGGCAAATGCAATGTTCGCGGCTTTCACAGAGACCCACATGAAGGATCACTTGGACAACGAAATATGGATCCCAGGTTACTACCTATACAGATGCGACAGTGAAAAGGCAAAAGGAGGGGGGTTAGCCTGTATATCACAGAGTCACTTGTTTGCACAGAACTGCTTAATGCCTCTAATGATGTAGTGGAAGTTTTAGCAGTAAAGATTGAGAACCAAAACCTAGTCATTGTGGTAGTCTACAAGCCTCCGGATGCAACGTCCCAGCAATTCCAGGAACAGCTGTTAAAAATTGACCACTGTCTGGAAAATCTGCCAGCTCCTGCCCCCAACATCTTGCTCCTTGGGGATTTCAACTTAAGGCACCTAAAATGGAGGAATATAGCAAATAATGTTGCAGTGATAACTCCAGGAGGCAGCTCTTACGAGAATTCACACACAAACGAGCCTTTAAATCTCTGCACAAAATTCAACTTAAACCAGCAAATAATAGAGCCTACTAGACTGGAGAATACACTAGACCTCATCTTCACTAACAATGATGATCTGATAAGAAATGTCACAATATCAAAAACAATATACTCAGATCACAACATAATCGAGGTTCAGACATGTATGCGCAGAGCTCCAGACCAACATAATGATATTAGTCATGAGGGAGCCTTCACCAAATTCAACTTCAATAATAAGAACAAAGTGGGACCAAGTAAACCAAGTCCTAACTGATATAAGCTGGGAAGATAGACTAAGCAACACAGACCCAAACTTATGCCTAGAACAGATTAATTCGGTGGTACTCGATGTATGCTCAAGGCTTA